TCCTCCTGCCCCTCTCGTTCCATTTTCTCCTCCTCCTCCTCCTCCTCCTCCTCCTCCCCGTCTTCCTCATACCCCTCCACCAACTCGAAAAGCGCGACCGGCCTCCGCGCCCTGCCGCTACGTCGAGCACCGGCACACCCATCCCCCCACGTTTTTGGCCTCTCCTCCTCCTTCTCTTCTTCCTTCTCGTCGCCACGATCCGTGAGGCCGACGATCCTCTTACGCTTCCTGCTCTCTCGCCTGAACCCGCCGGAGGCAGCCCCTTGCCCGGCCCCCGCCGTCCCTTCCCCGCTACCGCCGTCCCCCCCATCGCGGCTCTCCTCTCCCGCACCCGCGTCCTTTCCCCACGCGGGGCTCCACGGCAAGTAAGACCTCGCCGTTTTCACGGTGAGCTCCGTCCCCTCCACCTTCCCCTCACCCGTACCCATCGCCATTGCCCAATCTTTCTCCATCACGTCCGGCACGCTCCCTTCTCTCCCTCGTCTAGTCGTGGTCGCGCGGTCCGTTAGGCCCGCGTTGGCCCCAACGAAGAGGTAGGTGTCCCGAGTCCCGGTGATGCCCTTCAGCTGCTGCTCCGGCCTATAGACAGCAGTGGGCCCAATGAGCTTCACATGCACACGCCGGATGCGATACGGCGACCACGTGGCGAAATAGTCCGCGAGCTCTTTGTTCCCAACCCCGATGTGGTCAAAGTAATCTTTCAAGAACTTCACCACACCATCCGCTCCGGCGATCAGATCTCCACGCTGCTCGGACATCCTCATAGCATTCTTCGCCACACCGCCGATCCCGTCGTGGCAGCCTTTGAAATGAGATGTGGCAGCAAAATGGTGTTCGACGATAAAGCCAAGCTGCCGCACACTGTCAGCCAGAAACCGGAAGTTGCGCCTACCCTTGTACTGCTTAGCGCACCCATCCGTGAACATGTGCATGCGGGGGATTCGGTGGGCTTCCCGAGCGGCGGCAGTTGCATCACCTCCGGGCCCATCCAAATAGTAGTCTGCAATCTGAGTGAGCGCATGGCGGTGGAAGTCGAAGTCGTGTGCAGGGTCCTCGGAAGCAAAGATCCATGTCTCGGTCTGGTGAACCCTTCCGCCGCCCTCCCACAGCTGCGGACTGAAGTGTACGATAGCCACCATGAGAGTGGTTTGAGCATGCCGCGCGCAAGTGAGGACGGCCCCAGGAACGTGGGAATATTTCTCAATGAAATCAGTCTCGATCACGATGTCGCCGTCTTCAAACGTGCTCAAGCAGAGCCCGTGAGAGTTTGTCTGCCACTTGGCCTTGGTGTGATGAGCGACGTAAAGCTTGCTGTGCTTCTTGAAGTCCGCCCACAGGTCGCAGAGCTTGCCCTCCTTCTCCACTTGCTGGTTTTGAAGTGGCTTCTTCCCGGGCCTCTCCACATCTTCATAGTGCGTCCATTTCACAAGCTGTTGCGACATTTCCAGCGCCTTGCAGGTCGGGATACCTCCTTCCTTTCCAAAACCACAGTGCATGCAGTCCATAGAACTGCACGCCGGCTTCCGTCCCATGAATCCAACTTCATCCTCCGGGTCCCCCTCCCGCAGGTCCACCTTTGGACACAAGAGGGCTTCCGAAAAAGTCCCCAGGTGCTCCCACATCCCCTTCCACGCCGCGTGTCCGTCCGGGGCGCTACACCACCGGCAGTCGCATGTTGCACGACCCTCCACGTTCACCTCGCGCAACGCCTTGAGGTACAAGTCCTGCTGCGTGTGGATCTTACACGCGCACTGATCTGTTTTCAGGGTAGTCAGGCACTTGCACCGCGTCGACAGGAACAGCGAGCGTCCAGGGTCCTTGATGTCCTCTCCCTTCTCCGATTTCCAGATCCTCTTGAAGTTGATGTAGTCTGGCCACTCGAAAAACTTGGAGAAAGCTGCCTCACCGCCGCCCTGCACGTGGAGTTGCCGACGAGCGTGACGCACCTCGCCCTCCCTCTTGGACGCCCTCCACATGTCTCTGTTGCTGGAGTTTCCCGAAGCGCGAGAAACAACGTCGGTGTGCCAGAACCGCTTCATGAGTTCCAACACCTCTGGAGGAGTTGCGTCGCTCCTCTTGCCCCGCGGTTGAAACCAGTACGCGCCCTCGCCCAGTGCTTCCTCTGGAGCGAGGTCGGACCTCAGTCTTGCGACACGCTTGTTAGCGCTCACGAAGTGCTCAGGGTGGACTCCAAGAAGCTCTGCCTTGCGCTTCGACGTTACCCTTGAAGGCTCATCCCCGTCGTCCCCGTCGAACGCAGCAGCCGTGAGGATCGTCTGAAACGTTCGCCTTCCTTCATTGGTTCGCCCCTGTGTCGATGCTGCCGCAAGAGCCTTCTTGGTGCCCGCTACCATCTTCCGCGCATCACGTGCGTCTGCCTGCTCCTTCCGGAGAAGATCTGCGGCGGCCACTCCTTGTCCCGCCAGAAAATCCAACAGCTCACCCTCCGCCATGCTTCTCATCGCAGCAAGAAACGACTCAGAAGAGTCCCTCCAGTCTGGTTGCGGCTACGGGCCACGTGGCACAACAGCGGGGAGAGCGAGGGGAACGGCCAGTCGTCGTCAGGCTCGATTCGCATGCCAAACCCGCCATCATTGAAGCATTCACGTAAATTCGAAGGCGCAATCAGCACACAACACGGCAGTGCGCTCAACAATACAGTAAGTACATGAGTGTCGGCTTCAGCATCTTTATCGTAGGAGCAGGTGGGGGGACGTACAAGAGTGTCCACGGGGTGGATGTGAAGTTGGCTTTTCAACGGGTTGTAGTTGATACTATGGTGACTGAATTGGGATGTATGCTACGTACGGCGATACACCTACAGCAGGCAGCAGCAGGCAGCAGGCAGCAGCAGGCAGCAGGCAGCAGGCAGCAGCACCCGTGCTACAGCAGTACCACACATCGTACTTGCCCAACCGGACGCGCAGCTTACCTCTGGGTTATTAGCAGCCGGGTTGGTGGTGGCAGAAGAACGTGTCCTCAATCCCTCATGCGAACCCTGGATGGCGGCGATGACGGGGCAGGACATAACCCTGTCTGCCCCGCAACCCCCGCTTCCGCCGCCTTGTGGTATGCCGTTCTTCCGAGCTGCGTTTCGCTTGCCCGCCATGATGGCGTCAGCCTTTTCGCGGGCCAAGTTGGACAAAACCACTTCGCTAGCCTCGCAGTAGCCTGTGTTCTCCGCGGCTTTTCTGCCCTTCCTCTTGCTGTCCAACAAGGTGGTGCGAAGCTTGATTCCTCGTTCGTGTGGGGACCACTTGTGGATAACCTCGTATCTTGTTTGGCCAGCATACATGATGCGTGTACATTCGCCAGCGGCAGTCACCGCTGGGCCCTGGCCGCGCAGCATTTTCAAGCCCGCTTCCCACCACCACTTTTTGTCTGACCAACTTTCTGAGTGGCTCTACCCCCCCTAATTCGACCAAGCGGAATCGATTGGCGACGATTCCCGTGGCGAAAAAGTTCGGCAATGCAGCGAAAAAAAAAGTTCGGGCTGAAGGGGAACTTTTTTTTTTTGGGAACTTTTTTTAAACGTCGTTTTTGGGCGTTTGAGAACGATCTGCGAAGTCAATTTTTTTTTTTTTTCTTCTCGGAGGTGGGAAAGGTGATTCGTCTTTAGCTCGGAACCCGCCTACAGCAATCCCTTCCCTCGCGACTTACGAAGTCGATTATTTATGGTTTACTAACAAACGAGCTTTGTTTGCAGCGCGTCGCTTTCATCCTAGACCAGGATTTATTTAGTGAGAAAAAAACTCTCTCTGCCGGGACTCGAATCCATGACCTGGCCCTTACCAGGCTGCGAGGCTATCCACTAGACCACCGGGGCGACCGGTACTGTGTGAGCTGTTGAATGAGCTCAGGAAGCATCATAATCATCGGCAGCTACTGCTGTTGTTGCTGTTGTGGTACATACATACAGCTGGGTGGCCTTCCTGCTGCCTGTTGTTGTTGCCATCGCATCATCCCCCCTTTTTACTTCATGACACACCGTCCGCTCGCTGTTGTTTCCCGTACTGCTGCAGATATCATACAACTCCACACAAACGGAAAAAATGGATGCCGCACATCTTGTCCCAGCCAAAACGAATCGTTGCGAAACACAAACATGCTGACAGCAAAGAACGGTTAGGAACATGCCATGTTGTTGTTGTTGTTGTCTTCACGTTAAGGGTACTTTAAAGGAATGCCCGCCCGACGGTGGCTTGCCTCCTAGATGTAGTAGATGTAGATTCTGCCGTAGACACTCTTGTCCACGAGCACGTTGAGATGGTTACCAATGCTCGGTGTTGCCGGCGGCGTGGCAGAAAATAAGCATGGTGCCTGTATGTAAATGCAAGTTTTCAACTTCATCTGTGTCTATCTCTTGATTCCCGCGATCAGTCAAGTTCAATTCTTCTGAAATTTACTCTATGATACTCAGTCCATCTTCCCTCAAATTTTTGTGGCGATTGATGCTGCAGTGGGCGCGTTCTTGTGCTTGGTCGCTTTGGCGGGTGCACAGCAGGGTGGTTGCGCCGCGTAGATACGAGTCTCACATTTTTTTAGGGGAGGGGCTGCGTGTTGCGCCGACAAGTTTGAAGCCTACAGTGGACGGAATTTGCCAAATCTTGGTTCCCTAGATAGCTACTGGCATAGTCTACTGCTGTAAGCCTTTAGCCTTCGGTGGATGTACGCCAGTCGCGCTGCTAATCTGTGTAAAACGATATTTTTTGTTCCTCCGCTTACTTTTTTTTTTTTCTGTCGTGCAGCACTGAACAACAATTTTCGTAGACCCACGAACATAGTCTATGCGTGAATCCGTCGCCTGATGATGATGACAAAATGCTGCCGACTTCTTCCCATTGGCCTCTTCGGTCCAACGATATTAAACTGCTGTACATCCATCCCTCTTCCTTCAGCCTTTCCACAGGCAGACAGGCCCGTTCGACCCATGGATATGTCTCGAACGGGCACATACACAGTAGAGTACATGTGCGTGGATTGTTGTTGTTTTGTTGTTTGTCTTCACATTAAACCGTATGTCAGTTGCTAAATGCCAAAATCTAGCAAATCGCTGCTAATCTGTGTAAAACGATATTTTTTGTTCCTCCGCTTACTTTTTTTTTGTTCTGTCGTGCAGCACTGATATACTTTTTTGTTGCTGCACTGGGCCCCTTGTCTCCCTCCATCCCGGACCCCCCCGGGGCCCCGTGTCCCTCCCGAAACATCCAGAACTCGCGTGCGTTGCATGACCTTACATGCGTATAGCGTTCCCTTCACACACACGTGACACATTTCTCCTTCCCTAACCGTCACAATGAAGTCTGTAGCCGTAACTGCCTTCCTCGCCCTCGCTGCCACGACCCATGGGTTTGTCGTGTCCCCCGCATCCACATGCGCGGCGAGACCGTCCGCGGCGGTGACGGCTCAAGCAACATCACCGTTCATGTCGCGTCGCGTGGATTCTGCACCTACGGCGTCGTCCGGAGCACTCAAGATGTCCGACTCCATGAACGATGCTCAACAACCAACACTCGAGCAGGTGGTTTGGGATGTCGTGGAGCAGAAGATCTCCCTCGGAATTGTCGGGGTGTCCCTGACCCGCAGGCTGTACATACGAGATCATATGTTTTTGTTTGTACGTACGTTGTATGATGCAAGTGTTAGCTGAGCTCCATGTCTTTTTCTTGAGCAATCCTCACTTGACAGGTGCCTGTTGTCTGAGCACACGACCTTGTTCGCTCTCTGCTTTTCGCCCGCCGCGCGTTGGCGCCCGGTTTTCTCTTCCTTCATAGTGGCTGACGTTTGCAGAGCCCAAACTCCAGTCGACCCTTATCGCTATGTTCGCGGCGTGCAAGGAGATCGCCTACAAAATCCGTACCGCCTCGTGTGACAAGATGGCGTGTTTCAACGAATTTGGCGATGAGCAGCTGGCGATCGACGTACTTGCCAACAACGTTATCTTCGAGAACCTGAAGGCGAGCGGATGCTGCGCAACAGCCTCCTCCGAGGAGACCCCCGTCGAGGACCCCATGGGTGGCGAGGTCAGTTAGCTGGAGGTTTTGCGATTGCTGCGCATCTGTTGTGTCAGGAGACAAGCTGGTTGAACATGCCCCGCTCTCCGAAATGAGGATTTCATCGTCTGTGCTGTACCTTTGTACAGCAGTAGCTGTTTGTCGTAAAGCGTCACGTGCCAACAGCAACCTGCAACTGAGAATCTTCCATTAATGTAGTCAAATGCGCTTGTTTCTGGACACAAATGCATTCTTGGTTAGATGTAAACGATGATGAGCCTGCTATGATGACAGGATAATCGAACGTATGCATACCAAACATGCCAAGACACCCGATAGCAACAGACTTCGAGAGTCAACCAAAAGCACCCCACAAACGAATAACTTGAAAAGCTGACGTAAATACGTTCCACGCAGTGGTAATGGCTCGGGTGAGCTATGCGCACTCCACACTGTCCAGCTGTCAAGACTTTCTTTTAGTGTAGGTGGCCACCCATGCTTTGGTGGATAATTAAGTAGGTGTTCGCAAATAGCGTTGAGCGCCTCTGTACATTCAAATCGGAAAATACTCCTGGGGAACCTGTCGTGGGGTGATGGGAAGGGGATCAGGGGGTTTCCACCTCATCGAACGCAACCAACTTGACATTGTTTGGTGCGGCTTGTTGGCTTTCAGGGATACTCGGTGGCGTTCGACCCGCTTGATGGATCATCCATCATCGACACTAACTTCGCCGTGGGTACCATCTTCGGCGTGTGGCCGGGCAGCCGGCTGGTAGGCGTGAGTGGACGGGATCTTGCAGCAGCCGGGATGGCTGTGTACGGCCCCCGAACCACCATGACAGTCGCTGGTACGGACGTTTTGCGATTTTGTTTTGCTGCATGACTAGTGTATGGTTAGCCGAGTCAACACGAACAAGCAGTTGCCACGTTTCTTTGCTCCATTGTACTGTAGTAATAGGTACCTATGGAAGTATCTCCCACACGTCGAACGGAACATTGCGGAAGAAAGGCTTTCGCTCACACTGAAAAAGACTCTGGTTTCTTCTGGGCGGACCTCCCTTCCTTTTAAACAACAGTGGACGGCATGGACGGCTCCCACGAGTTTCTCCTAATCGACGACTTCTCTGGGCGCCACGGGCAGTGGGTGAAGACGAACAGCTTCACCACCATCGACGATGGCAAGCTGTTCGCCCCAGGCAACCTCCGGGGCACGCAGGTGGGTCATGGTCTTCGTCGAATGTAGACCGTGGTCGCAGTCCTCCTTTTCAAATTTGAGCGTGCCAAGGTTGTTGGTATTTGTCACAACACGGTAGTGATCGGCACTTCTTGTGTTAGGTAATAGCTTCGCCCACCGTCGGGATGGTGTTTGTAAAAATTCGCGTGTCGTCTTGTAGTTTTTCCCCAGTCCCACCTATAGTTGTCATGCTCGCACGTATGTAGTATTGGCGTACGGTAAATCGGGAGTGATAACCTGGCGCCGCGCGAGATAAATTATACCAGTATTGTGTGTCCCAATGGTGATAGCTGTGAGCGACCGAGAATCCGGAATGCTGGCCGAAGAGCGACCCGCTGGAAATGTGGCGGTTGAAGAATGGAGCCAAATGACCCGAATCATGAATGGTACATATCATTTTGCTGTTGTGTGTCCCGTTGGTCTCATGACGATAAGTCTTTCACCGCCGGGATTTCTCCCACGACCTTTGACCATGATCATCGCAACGTTTCCAGGGTACTCAAAATGACCATCGGGGGGTACGCCTCGTACAAGAACCAGTGCATATGACCATTAAGGTACTACCATTTATTAACTTACACAGGACAACGAGGGATACAACGAGCTCTTCAACTTTTACCTGGACAACAAGTACCAGCTGCGTTACACTGGGGGCATGGTGCCGGATGTAAACCAGGTACAGCATGCGAGTTTTTCTTGTCGCCCTGCTCGTTCGCGTGGTGTGGCTGAAGATAATTGATGGCCGGCTGGCTACGGCGAAGGAATAGTAAAGTTGGCATTGGATTCACACTAGATTTACGTGAATTGCTGGGCACTGGTGCATGAGATCAAATACTGCAACAAGCCTCTGCGTCATAGATGTGTGGAGGTCTGAGGCGCGTTTACCCTCATGTCAAGCTAAGATTTGCGATTGAACGCTCCGTACTAATCCATTCCTGCAGATCATGGTGAAGGGCAAGGGGATCTTTGTCAACCCAGCGTCTGCGGCTGCTCCCGCGAAGCTCAGGGTCCTGTACGAAGTTGGCCCGATCGCGTACCTGATCGAGAAGGCAGGCGGCAAGTCGTCCGATGGCGAGAACTCTGCTCTGGACATCCAGATCCCCAACACGGAGGTGAGAGAATGGAATCTTGCCATGATGTGGCGCGACTCTTTCCATGGTGACTTCACCATTCATGTGGTTTCGTTGTTTTTCGCTGACCATGTCAACAATTGCGCAGCTGGTAGGCGGCGCATGCATGTGCGGAGCGCTTGCGTACATGGCGCGGCATGATTTCTGTGAAAAGGCTTGCTGCATCTCCTTGGGAGTGCTTGCTTTGAGCTCAACTGGCGGGTTACAGCATGTGTGTTCGTGACTATGGGACCAACTTCTGTGGAAAGGTGTACTGTAAGAAAGACTTGTGTGTGTGTTTTTTCGTCCTATTTATTATGGCGACAGTCCCCCCATATTTCGTGGTGAGACGTGTACTACACTTTTCAGTGTATTTTTTCGTACAATTACAACCATCCAGGGTCACACAGGAGGGGATAAACACCAGGGCTTTTCTCGTTTTATTTCTTTTCATGCCCCACCTTCCTCCTGCGGTGCGTGCTGAATTTTATTTTTATCGCGAGAAGGGTCCAGCCGTCCCTTTCCCTCGTCAACGGTGCTAACGTCGAAGTTTGGTACTCGCGAGAGCTTTCTAGCTATGTTTTGCTTTCATCCGTAAATTTCGTAAATTTTTCACCCCATGGGGATTCGAAGTCACGCCCTCTGCGACTAGCGGATTACGAGGATACCACTAGACCACCGGGGCAACCGTGGAAGATCCGCTCTAATTGGGTGAAGGGCTCGCGCCCCGACTCTAACGGCAGCCTCGGCTGTGTTGATCATTGTGCCATGAGTTGCGGGAGGCGAAGAATGAAACCCATGTTTTTCGTTATGCGGCCGAGCAAGAGCATGCAGCTTTTTGGGCATGCCTATCGACAAAAACTCGGGTGTGTCGACAGGATCTTGGCCGATTGATGTCCTGCACGGTATTAAAGAGTAAACCTGCTTTCAGGATGGACACATATGGCGGGCTGTATCACACGAGATTAAGGGCTTCACCTGCGTTGCTGCCGGTCTACCTTGTTCTTGTTTGTTGTACAGGTTCGCTCGCAGGTGGCGTACGGTTCTGTCGGAGAGGTGGACCGGTTTGAAAAGTTGGTCGGCGTGAAGGCGATGGTGGCTGACGCGTAGGGAGGCAGTCATTTTTAACAGTAGAGTCATTTGGCATGCGTTTGCGGGGGGTGGGGGTACACCGACCAGCGTGTTGCCATTTTGCATAAGGGCAGTTTACGGAGCAATTTGCTGCCCAGATGCCCTGATAAACGTTCCCGATATATCTAGCGGCAGATCTAGAAGTGCGAGAACGGGGGAAGAAATCTGGTGTTTGGCGGTGCCCCTCCAAATCAAGACGCGGTCATGGAACAGTCGCTTGTTTCCCTATCCACGCTGGTCTGTGTGGACTTGGTTCAGTGTAGGGTTTGTTGCGGTTAAGGTTTTATTATCTGTTTTAAGTCATTTTCGGAGTAAAACAAAGCCTTGTAACCATGATGTTGTTCCCTCGACGAAAGCTTTGGAGGTTGTGCGACTAACTTGCCTCTCCTTTTATGAATGGAAAGGGCCGTGGTGAACTGCCGCTTAATGTTAGTTAGACCGTCAGTGACACGCATTCGTCTTCGGTACCGAGATTCGAAACTTTCTGCGATTCTTGGCGCGAACCAAGTAATGTCTTCGGAACACCTTGATCATACTCGCTAGCTGTTGTTCGGGAACGCTGGGCATATCGGCGTGAACCACGTAACACCGTCGACCTGCGGTGTTTTGTGCAGCACTCAACGCTGGATGTCATGAAGACCTCCACATAGAATGTGGCGAAGTCCGAGAAAATCATAAATCTCTCACGATCTATTCCTGTCCGTGGTTGTCAGCCACCATCTGAAAGGACCCGGGCTTCGGACAAGAATGAGTTGTCACGAAGCATAACTTCCAGCTGCGTAGCTAACGAAAATCACTTCGGAAATGTGAAAGTCCGTAGGGGTTTCTCCTGGAACACACACCCACCTCTCAACAGAACGGAAACGACAGGAAAACACAACGCCGTCCAGCCCGCCCAGGTGTAGTAACGAGAACACTTTCGTTATTGTCGCCTCGTGCACCCGAAACCCCACATGGGTGCAGCCAATCATCCCACAACTTAAATGGACGAAAACACTTGAATGCAAGAGCCTTCGCGTAGCGTAAATAATCACGCTAATAAAATCCGGTGGTTTATGCACAGCAAACGTACCATGAGAATGGAATGCAATCCACGTAGGATCATGGTGGAATGCACTAAACGTAAGGTCGTGGGCAGCAACAGTGGACACGAACTATCGCTCACCACCCTCCATTCTGGACGAGTACACGGCAAGCTAGTACCAGTCAACGACGTGAGTTGTATTTCTGTAAGCTTTGTGCTAAAGCCAGAAACGCATAAACTTAAAAAACGTAGTCACGCAAATACACATCCCCCCCTTGCCACGACATTACCGCAATGTCATGCACAGCAAATGAACGACGAGGAATTTGGCACATTACAGGTGTGTACAGTAGTACACACAAAATATCATTTATCACCCCGACATCATGCACGAAAAGACCGCAGGCCAACAACAGTCAAAAACGTGAGTTATTTATTGCATGCCTTACGCTTCCACGAGAATTTTGGAATGCACTAGGGTGCGGTGGACAGTGTACATACTACCAAGTAGCACGTACCCACCCACATTATGCACGATATGCACGAGAACACAGCAGGCCAGCAAACGTCAACGACGTGAGCTGTTACATGCCTGTACGCTCAGCGTAGATGAAGTCGGGACCGCAAAAACCTTCAAAGTCATGCCGATACACACACACCCTCCCCGCCAAGAGATTTGCTCTGTGGGTCACGCACGGCAATTTTGAGATGCACTTTTAAGAGTGGTGGGAGAGTAGTAGAATGACGTATCACATATCACCCCACAACAATATGCATGAGAACACCGCAGGCCAACAACAGTCAACGACGTATCAGATCTTGAAATGCAAAAGCCGAAGGTTAGCGAATATGCAGCCGGAACCGCACAAGCTTCAAATAAAGTCAGTCGATACACCCACACCCCTGCCACGACCTTTGCCGAGTGGTACTGCACACCAAATTGATGACAATTTGGGATACATCCATAGTCGGTGAACAGAGAGGTCGACACCACGTATCATACCTATCACCCGACAACATTATGCATGAAAACGCAGTAGGCCAGCAACAGTACCGGCGTACGAGGGTACTTCAATGCAAAAGTCCAGGCTTGGCGTAGATGCAGTCGGAACCGCAGAAAGCTTCAAACAAAGTCACGCCGATACAAATCCCCACTCCTGCCACGACATTTGGCAAGAGAAAGAAACCACACGACAAACACATTTCAAACACAGCACACGCGCGAAAAAAATGAAGCTTTGTACACAGAACGCTGTTTTGCTCGATAATATCGAGCACGCACGCTAGACACTACCTCCGAAACGGGGTTACCACAAAGTGGGTAAAGCGCAACAATGCGGTTACAGATCCAATATGTAAACTCAACCTTTTCACGTTCGCTGTGTCGATAAACAAGCCCACAGCTCGGAGACGAACGAATCGCCTAAATACATTCGCGGCCAGGGGCCTCAATCTGCCCTGCAGTTGAGGTTCCGCCAAAGGCAGCTGTCCTAAATTACGCATTTCCGATCAGACACATCGTTACGTGTCCTACCAGTACCATAATAACCGGGAACAGCGTTAGGGTGCTCCATGTTCATCCTCCAATTGTGGTCATCGGCCGGTTCTTGGCGTTGGCAATACCATACATGTCCCCATGACCTCCAAGGGCAGCGCGTTTGCCCAACACTGCCGCCCGTACCAGAACCGATATCTCTGCATCCGACAGTCCTCCTCTAAGCGCGTCTCGGAGGCTGAGGCTTTCGTCTCCGAACAGGCAGACCTTCAAATTCCCGTCCGATGTGATGCGGAGGCGATTGCAAGTACCACAAAAGTGCTCGCTCATCGACGTGATGAACCCGACCCTTGAACGGAACGACAAGCGATACATAAAGGGGGTTCATGTGATGTTTATGTTTGCTGCGCATGGGTTTCCAAAATATCCTTGGCGGCGAAAGCAACACGCAATCATTGCGTCACCTCGACACGTGCATTCCACGATTGCTCATTTCAACAGAAGAGATATGCATACAAGCTGGTTTACGGAAATGAACCCAAATATATTCAACCACCACTGCAAAGACGAAATATGTGCTCGAAATTGACATATCCTGTATCAAAGTGACCCCCATGAGCAAGGGAACAAATCACCGTGGCCGGAGCCACAATGCAATGGGCATGAATGTGTCTCGGTCAATCAGAAGTCTCAAACATGACATAATACTAATAATGCATGCAACCCCACTTCCCACCTCTTCCTAATTTTGCAAAAAAAGAAATTCCCCTACTCAAGGGGGGACCTAAAGGAAAAAAAAAATAGAAAACGGTCATCGTGGAAGCGAGCTATGCCAAAAATTGTGGTTTACAGGCCGAGATTTGGCGTCGTCGAGTTTCCACGGACGGATTGTATACTATCGTTTGTTTGCCTCATAAATATCGAAGGAAAAGTTTAATCATCCTCAGATTTTGATAGCATGTTTGCACTGCTGATCGGCGTTCTGGAGTCCCCGGTGTGAAACCCCCGAAAACCGGTTCCAAATTTAACAACACCACTTGTTTTTTTCCGCTGCGTGATAATTCAACGATCCTTCCCAGAATTTTTGTGGTACCACTTGTAAAACTAGCGCAGTACGGGGCTTTGCAGTGAAAAAGGAGCCCCGCCGATCTGATTTTTTACTAATATGAAATAGTTTGGGGGGGAATCAGGATGACGACTACTTCATGACACGAAAGCTAAAATCTTCACGCCGTTTTTTAAGGGTTATAATTTGAAACTTTGCACACATGTACATTGGGTTGGTGCGAACCGCTGCGCGGTGGGGCCTTTTTTGNTTGTGTCATGAAGTAGTCATCCTGATTCCCTCCCCAAACTATTTCATATTAGTAAAAAATCAGATCGGCGGGGCCCCTTTTTCACTGCAAAGCCCCGTACTGCGCTAGTTTGATAAGTGGTACCACAAAAATTCTGGAAAAGATCGTTGAATTATCACGCAGCGGAAAAAAACAAGTGGTGTTCATAAATTTGGAACCGGTTTTCGGGGGTTTCACACCGGGGACTCCAGAACGCCGATCAGCAGTGCAAACATGCTATCAAAATCTGAGGATGATTAAACTTTTCCTTCGATATTTACGAGGCAAACAAACAAAAATATACAATCCGTCCGTGGAAACTCGACGACGCCAAATCTCGGCCTGTAAACCACAATTTTTGGCATAGCTCGCTTCCACGATGACCGTTTTCTATTTTTTTTTTTCCTTTAGGTCCCTTCTTGAGTATGGGAATTTCTCTTGTTGCAAAACTGCGTAAGGAAGAGGTGGGAAGTGGGGTTGCATGCATTATTAGTATTATGTGAAAGGGTCTTTATTTTTTTCCTCATGGCGGATATCCGGGGTCCTAAAGTTTTCGGGGTCATGTGCTGCTCCTGGGACCTCGAATAACCGGCGACCATAGAAGAAAACAAACAAGGCCTCACCGCGCAGCGATTCGCACCAACCCAATGTACATGTGTGCAAAGTTTCAAATTCTAACCCCTAAAAACGGCATGAAGATTTTAGCTTTTGTGTCATGAAGTAGTCATCCTGATTCCCTCCCCAAACTATTTCATATTAGTAAAAAATCAGATCGGCGGGGCCCCTTTTTCACTGCAAAGCCCCGTACTGCGCTAGTTTTACAAGTGGTACTACAAAAAATTCTGGAAAGGATCGTTGAATTATCACGCAGCGGAAAAAAAAAAGTGGTGTTCTTAAATTTGGAAGCGGTTTTCGAGGCCCTTCCACATAGCGTTTCGTGCTGACCTAATGTACATGTGTGCAAAGTTTCCAAGTGTAACTCCTAAAAACGGCGTGAAGTTTAGATGTTGAATGTTCTTGTATCCATTTCGCTGAATGTACAACGGGTAGGAATGACGGGAAGTTTTAGTTGTGCTTCTGTGTATCAAGCGCCAAGCGCCTTAGGTGTTCCTCTCGCAGAACCCATTGATTGTGTCTATCTCGGACCC